TGTGTGTGTGTGTGTGTGTGTGTGTGTGTGTGTGTGTGTGTGTGTGTACACCCTCTGTCCAATGTAGTAAAGAAAGAGACAAGATGGCTTGCCCATTGTTTCCTTTTCCGAACCCTGGTTGGCACTCCCTGATTAGCCTGCCTCAGTTTCAGAATGCCTCCCCCAGGCTAACCCTTGCAGGCCCAGCACAGCCTTACCCCAACCCCAGTGTTGTCTGTCCCAGTCCCCAGCTGTGGGAAACTCAGTATCTCTCTGAAGCTGGTCTCTGGACTGTCGATGCTGTCAATATATACAAACAAAAAAAGCCGGTGTCTTAAGGCCGAGAAGTCCTAACATTCTCCCCGACACCCACATGCCCACCCCTTGCAGGATAGAAAGGAGGGCTGCTGCAAACACTTGGCAGGAAGGCACGGACTGTTGTCTGTGGAGGGTGGCACTGACCTGGGCACCCTTTACTGACCCTCACCCCCAGGCAGTGGCACACACTAACTCACCCCTGGTGAAGCTTCTGGCTTCCTCACCAATGTTTCTCTCCTCAACAGTCAGCAGCAGATCAGAGGAACCATTCCATCCAAACCCAGCTTAGTGAACAATGAATTGTTGGGCTTACATGTAGGAGCATGGGTGGGGTTGCTTGCAAGAGCATAGGTGACCCCCAAACAGCGGCTACACTGAAAAGTCCCACCGCAGCATGAGTAATGAACTCCCCCAAACTGGGGATGGCATCCATCTTTAGTTAATGTTCCTCCTATATACTCTACTTCCTGAGGCCATGTGCAGTTGGGACACAGTTACATGCAGTTGGGTAGGGGTGCATGATGGAGTGGCTGGGACCTCCAGTGAAGATCTAGTGTCCTTCCTCACCCCTCCTGTGAGGGACTGTCAGCAGGCCTGATCTTGGGAGAGAGATCCCTTCTCCATAGATAGTCACAGGTACTTGATTATGCTAGTAATGGCTATTGGGATTGGCAGACTGATACAGGACTATATGATGGCCTGAGTTCATCCTCTCGGATGTGGCCGGAAAGATCAAAACCTGAATCCCCACCAGGAGGAGAAACCAGACCAGACCAGCACCAAAGGGCTCAGTGCAGAGTTCTCCCTGGAGCACACACTTTGATGGTCTCTGAGTGAGTGACACCCCTCCCCCACCGAGGCTTTCCTGGCATTTGAGTCAGCCTCCTCCAACACTGAACATGAGCCCCAAGGCTGGGGGTGCAAGAGATCCAAAAAAGAAGAGGCTGGGCACTTGAGAGACAGAGGCAGGTGGGTCTCTGAGTTCCAGACCAGCCTGGTGTACATAGTGCGTTCCAGGAAGCCAGGACTGTGTAGGGGGACCCAGTCAAGAGAGAGAGAAAGAGAGGAACTAGTTTACCTGGAAATTGCTGAACTGAAATGACGGATTCAGGGGTGCATTAAAATGAGACAAGAGGTCTGGTGGTGGTGGCACAAGCCTTTAATCCCAGCATTTAGGAGGTAGAGAGCAGTTGGCTTTCTGTGAGTTCGAGGCCAGCCTGATCTACAGAGTGAGTTCCAGGCCACACAGAGAAACCCTGTCTCAAAAGTGTGCCTGTGTGTGAGTGTATGTGTATGTAAGTAGTACCCATAGAGGCCAAAGGGGGTAACAGGTCCCCTGCTCTGTCTATATGGCTAACAGTTCCAAGTGGCCTGACCATTCACATCCTACACCCACTGTCTGTTGTCACCTCCAGCTAGTTCCCACCCAGCCCTCTTTCCAGAGCTTTCTCTGATACTCTGGTCTGCACGTCCTTTCTCTCTCAGGGGAAGCACTATCTACCCATTGGCTGGATAGACATCATGACGTCAGGCTGGTACCATCGACTGTGCTGGCTGTGCTTTCAGTTTGGAGAGTGGCCTGAAGGACGCTAGTGGGCCATGCAGGAGGCCAAGCAAGCAATCCAGGCAAGAGTCAGATGAAGACTTACATATTTGGGCTGGAGAGATGGCTCAGAGTGTAACATGAGGGGCCGGCTAGTTGGGGTATCTGTTCCTGCCCAGTACCCCACAACCGGCAAGTCCCAGAGAAAATCAACCACACAGAGAACTCTATAAGTTATAAAGCTGATTGACTCATTAGCTCAGGCTTCTTGTTAACTCTTATAGCTTATATTAACCCATTATTCTGATCTATGTTAGCCACGTGGCTTGGTACCTTTTTCAGCTGTCAGCTTACATGTTGCCTCTTCGGTGGTCTGTGCAGGAATGACTGAGGGAGGTTCCTGTTTTCCCAGAATACTCCCAGTCTCTTTGCTCCACCCCTACTTCCTGTCTGGCTTTCCCGCCTATACTGCCTGCCTGGCCAATCAGAGTTTTATTAAAATATGATTGACAGAATACAGACAATTCTCCCGCATCATCAGTGGTTAAGAGAGCACTGGCTGCTCTTCCAGAGGTTCTGAGTTCAATTCCCAGCAACCTCATGATGGCTCACAACCATCTATAATGAGATCTGGTGCCCTCTTCTGGCCCACAGGTATATATGCAGGCAGAACACTATACATAAGAAATAATAAATCTTGGGCTGGAGAGATGGCTCAGAGGTTAAGAACACTGCCTGCTCTTCCAAAGGTCCTGAGTTCAATTCCCAGCAACCACAAGGTGGCTCACAACCATCTGTAATGAGGTCTGGTGCCCTCTTCTGGCCTTCAGGCATACATGCAGACAGAATATTGTATACATAATAAATAAATAAATAAATATTTTTTTTAAAAAAGAAAGAAATAATAAATCTTAAAAAAAAAAAACTTATGAGCACACCATGAGCCAAAGGGAGCAGATTGCTGCTACTTCAGGTGCACCGAGGGGGCAATAGAGGGTTTGAGGCTTTGTCCCTCCCTCAGGATACTCAGGCCATCCATTTCTTGCTTTCAACCACCCTCACCCCAGCTTAGGGCTCTGTGTGCCTGTCCACCCAGACCTCCCCTCTGCTCCTGTCCCCATGGCCTTGTGCTGGCCCTTGCCCAGAGATGATCAATAAATATGTATGGGAATATCAAACTGTGAAGAAAGAAGTGAGTAAATCAGGGGGCTTTATGCTGGAAGGACCTTTGGTTCACATGCTTTTCCTTAGGCTTGAAGAGAGAAGCGATTTGCTAAAGCTGGGGTCGAGGGCAATGAGACAAGAGGCTCACAAGTTCACCAGGCCAACCTGGACTCCCTATTGAGAGCTCATCTCCAAAGAGGAAGGAAACAGCAGCAGGAATTGAGCAAAGGAGAGGCCATGTCCAAACATGGAGAAGGCCAGGGTACCAGGAACCAAGCCTGAAGTGAAGTTGGATAGGCAGCCTCTGGCTATGCAGAAATCCTTGACTGTTGTTTGAGCCCCAATCCATGGTACCTGTCAGAGCAGCACAGTGCAGATATTAAAGGTACAGACTCCCATTTCCCCCTAGGCCGCAGGGCAGAATTTCCCTGCATTCACAGACTCTATGCTCCCAGGTAAAGCAGGGCCATCAAGCATCTTCTCCTGAGCTCAGGCAAAACAGTGAATACTGAATGAACTCCTCACCCTCTGGCCACCACTGCTCTATTCACCAGCCTCCCTGTCTGTGCCCAAGAGACTTGACACCATGCCAGGGCTCCCCACGTTAACACCAGCTTGCTCTGCTGTTTGCTACACTTTCTCATCTGCCCCCCCCCCCGCATTGTGTCTCCCACAAGTCAGACCTGGCAAGGCTGGATGTGAAGTGTAGAAGCCCAAAGACAATTCAGACTGAGTCCTCCTGGCCATGGAGACAGCCGTGCACAGCTATGGATCGCCCTGGCTGGGCAGATCCCCAAGCATTCCAGAAAGAGCCCAGGAGCATGAGCAGTGGCTTCCAGCCACAGAGTCCTGTACAAATGGTTTTCCTCTTGTACTTCTGCCTCCAAGCAGTGTAGCCAGCGAGGAAAGCGCCTTCTCTTGCAC